AAAGGGTGGTAAAGTTACAAAGGAGACTGAATGTGTAGTTTAGGCAAATCTTTTCTGCTAATTTCCCCCTGTTGTGTCTCTGAGTTGTAGGATAGGCTTGCTTGAAGGAATAGACAAGAATTTTAAATCTTAAGATTCCCTGAAACCATTTTGTTGGCTGAAGCGTCATATAATTATAGACATATGCACTTCACTTTCATCTACTTATGTGTTTTATAAATGGGATTATATTCGTAGATGATTTGGGTCACTGGTTCTCTAGGCCAGAATTATGTTTGTAGATCCCCACATATTGTTGAATGTCGATGTAGTTCACTCATGTCATTGCTGTAGTCATTGCATGAATATGTTAAAATATGCTTGTTCATTCTACTCTTGATTGGCATTCATTGACATTCATTCATTTATTTACAGTTTGGAGATACTACTTACAATACTACTAAGAACATTCTTGTATATATGTTCCTTGTGTACACGTGTAAGAACAATTAAAGAGTAAGTGACTATAAGCAGAACTGGTGGGTTAAGATGCATATGTTCCTTCCACTTCACTGGGTAATGCAAGAGCCCTCAAAACTGGGGATCTGTGGGGAAAGTGGAACAAATGTGAGGAATGCAACCACCCATACACACCAAAAAAAGAACAGGGAGCCCCAAGAAAGCTTGTATCATAATGGTATATGAATCACGCATACTGTACATGTGATTAACGTTACCTTTTATGGTGTTGGGACAATTACAGATTGGGGGAAAGGTTCAAAATACATACAAAACTCCTAATTATATTAAGTATTTGACCTTAAACTGAACATAAAATGATTAGAAAAATATCACTGACAATTATTTATACATCAGCCAGATTTTTTTTCTAAGTAAGATGCAAAAACAAAGAAGATGAACTATGTAAGATTAGCAAATTTGGCAAAAGATAGACACTATGAACCGGGTTGAAAGGGTAGTGACAAGTTGGAGATGATATTATATGTATATAGAAAGAGTTACTGTCTTAAAACTTGAAGAGTTTCTAACAATCATTAAAAAAAAGGAAGGCCACCAAGGACAGGGAATTTGTAAAGAAGAAATGCAGTAAAAAAATCTACAAAATCCTGCCCAGCAACACTGTCCAGAAAAAAATAAATAAAATTGAACAATAATCTGGAAAACTTCAACTGCCTAATTACTTAAGACACAGACACCTATCTTATAACACCCAATGAAATCAAGTGTATGAGGTAAAAAGTATTCTCTTACACTGCTGGTCAAGTTGTAAAGTGGAGCACCTTTTTTTTTTTTGGCAGATGGGGAAAAATACTTAGCAAATTTTAACTTTGCTTTCTTCAGCACCTGCACAAATTGCTTTTGTGGATTTAACAAATGAAACTAATTTCAGCTGTATGGCAAAATAGCCCAGTAAGGTAAGTGACAGTACAGAAGGTGACAGTATCGTTCAGCACTGTAAACAAAAACTCACGTCACATCAGCAGAGGTTTGGTTATTTGGTTATGGCTTACACAGACAATCTAATGCAATCTATAAATGGATACGATGTGTTTCTACACAATGACATGTAAAAGATTAGGCTATGGAATGTGGGGAGGAAAAAGGAGGCTACAGAACAGTAAGGTGTTCTGATCTATAGGGGTTCCATTCTACTTGGTACACTTCTGGTAGGTTCACCCATGGGGCTACTAACTACAAGGCCTGTAGTTCAATACCAAGGGAGAAATAAGGCTCTCTGTTCCCACAAAGACTTACCATCTTGAAAACTCCTAGGGGAAGTTCTGTTTTGTCCTACAGCCATGAGGCAGAATTGATTCAATGGGAGTGAGTTGGGGTTTGATCCTAGTTGGTACTCTGTATAGTTTGAAATTTTGAAAATATAATGTTACATTTCCATTTTTTTCAAGTAATAAAGCTATGAGCAGTTGGAAATAAAAAAAGAAGAGAGATTATCAAGAAAAAAGAAGACCCCAAATTGTTCAATCCTATGATCCAGGAGCATGGACAGAGAGGTAGGATTCAACATTATGGGTTATTCTCAGTAATGCTGAACTCAGTGGACCTGTTCCACTCCAGATATGATGCTAAGACAAAGGCAACCCACGGGGCTTGAGATGAAGACTCAGATGGGAGAAAGGACAGAGGCACATGGATCTTTGGAGGTGAACAATCAGCTCTGCTTGGCAGTGGTAGAGGGAATGATGTGCTAACTTTCAGGATAAGTGTCGTGGGACCATCTATCCATCCATGCTAGTAAAGGCAGAGAATATTGGAGGTACAAGAATCTTGATATCAGCTTCTGCCTTCTGTCAGACATCCATGGGAAAGCAAGCCTAGGGACAGTAAACACTAGTCCAAGGTCAAGAACATTGTGAACATCGAGAAGGGTGATGTGAGAATTATATCAAAGATATCTCCCACAGCTTTCTTGATCTTCAGAGGAAGTGTAATCTTTGTATTCATGAAATTTGTCTGGCAACTGGAAAAGATCAGGAAGAAGCCATCTTTTAATAGTCAAAACCCTGGATATTTTGGAGTTGTTACGAGAAAACTAGCACTCTTTTTCTGCCTTTCTCCACTGATTAAACAAACTCCCCAACTCTCGAGGGGCACCTTCTTTTTAGAGAAGCATGAAATGAATTCACTGTAGTTTTTTTTAGTCTTTTTAGCAAAACTGGTAAGATGAACGATTTTCCCTCGAGGGGGAGGGTGAACTACAGGATAACTGCATTAAGACGACTACAACTGGGTGTTGCTGGGCAACATGAAAGGGGAAACCCACATTGGTGAACTACATTGCATTGCTCTACTTCCTTCACCTAACCTTTCAGCAGTGCTGAGGCATCTTATCCATTCATTCCTTCCCCCCTCCCTCCAACACCTCTATCTTTTCTCTGAATTTCTTTTGACTGGAGTTCTTTCACTGTATCCATTTTTACATCTCTTCATGAGTTTCCCACTAGTGACATTGTGTTAACTCCAACTCATGGCAACCTCATAGGTTAACGAGTAGAACTGCTCCGTAGGGTTTTCTTGACAGTCATCTTCATGGAAGCAGATCGCCAGTCCTTTCTTCCAGAGAACCAT